TTTTTTAGTATATTACTTGTGTGGTGTAGAAGAGAATTATTTTGTAGAGATACTGCTTGCAAACCAATGATGGTAAGATGATGTCATGGGGTAGGACTGGATAAGTCTGACTTCTTCCTACTCCATTCAAGCATGTACTAGGTATAAGCAAATTGATATTTGATTAGCATTTGTTGGATATGTGTAAAATTATGTGTGTTGACATATCAACTGTCTTTACATGCTTGAAAGAATAAATCAAATCAATCAAATCAAATCAAGGCTGGTGCTACTCCATAGTGCTCCAAATGGTCAAAAACTGCTACCCTGTTACTGTTACTCTTAATGCCTAGACAAAATCATGCTTCATTTTATGTTGATCAATTTTATTTTTGACCTTGAGAGCAACAGCTGACCCCAGAAAATCACTAAGGACAAACTGTCTGCTAATGGTTTTCATATGAAATGATGAAAATTACTTTGCCATCTTCATAATGAGTTTTGAGAGACACCAAATTACATCAACATAAGTTTGGTTTCACTAACAGGTGCAGAGCTCAGTCGATTATCAGTTGGTATTTTTTTAATTAAAATCTGACACAGAGCTTATCATACTTATCCTGGCTTTGAGAGGACATCTGCAATTATCAGAAATCTGAAACTATTTTATTTCCTGAGCATTACAAAATTTCTTTTCTCAAACCTATTCTTTCCATAATATTGACAAGATGGATTACAAAATAGCCTTCCGTTATCAGTACAGTTACAGGGGAGTGCTGTTGCACCTCTCTAATCCTTTTAATTTAAGTACCCGTACACCTGGTCTACTCTCATCCAGATACTCCAGGACTGGATTATTATATGCCAGCTGTGCCTTCCTCTGGTCAGACTCTTCCTCTGGGTTGGCAGAGGTTATCTGTTTTGAAATGTGCTCCTTTTCTTCATCTTCTTGCCGCTCCATGCATGACAAACTGCAGCAGACAGTTGCCTTTGTGATCAGGCGGTCGAGCGGTTTGAGAGAGTGCATCCACTGGGGCAGGAAGTCCCAAGTCTGAAGCTTGGCGGGCAAGTGACGGGGGCTACGTGTCTGCATCACATTTACCATGGTGATGAAAAAGGTAACGCCCAGGAAAGGAGTCCCAACACCAGCCAATACCCGCCAGCCGGCCAGTGAGAGGCCCAGGACTAGCGAGGGGAGAAGTAAGAAGCACAGAAGGAGGTACAAGACTGCAAACCAGCGGTACTTGGCAGTGCGCTCACCCAGCACATAAGCCATCCTTATCGGAAGACGCATGAAGGGAAGAGGATACCAAAGTAGGATGCCAAAGACATTGAAGAAGAGGTGACACAGAGCGATCTGCATACAAAGATGAAGAGATTCAGTACAAGAGTGCTGAAAGGTGTCATTCATCACAATCATTTACATCCTCAGAAACAAGCTACAAGGTTTGTTTTCTTGCCATGTAACAGTCACACTATAAACATAACCCAGTGACTGGATGTAGTTTGAGGTTTCACAGGCTGCTAAAGAAGACTATAACAATTTTCCTTGGAGCATCCATTTAGCTGTCTCCAAAGCTCCTGCTCATAGATTTCTTAATATAACATCAGCATGTTACAGTATGTCCATTATATTTAAAAAATTGTTATAATCCAGCATCTGTAGAAAATTCTCCGCATGTTTTTCTTTGATAAGACATCAGCCTACCTGTATAGCAGCTGCCAGCTTGTTGCCGGGACTGGCCAGAGCTGCCAGCAGGGCCGTGGCAGTGGTGCCAATGTTAGACCCAAGGGTGAGAGGATATGCCCGCTCCAGACTGATCACACCAATACCTGAGGGAGACAACAGAAACAAGCTGTCAAAGGAACCTAGGAGATCAAATGAAGATGGTTAATTCTGAAATGTAATAGCACCTGACATCTTCCTGTTGAAAAGCAGAGCATCCAGTGCTTTCTCATGCACTGACACCACTTTTGTGTCAAGTGCGTTATAAAAAGTGAAAACTTTGATTGGAATTCAAGTTCTCCCAGGTTGATGAAATCTGAATTCACCGCTTTTAATCATAAGAAGCAATATAAAACTGCTGTAATGAAAGAAATGTGCTAGTGACCTTTCTGAGTCATGAAAGCAAATGTCCAAAACGTTTAAAAAAAAACTATTTGAAGTATTCGAGCAGTTTGACTTAAATTGCATATATGATCAATAGGCAAAATATACAATCAATTGTACTATGTGTTTAAGATGAACAATGGAATCAATCATTAAGGCTGAAATATTACTTTGCCAGATTAGATGAATTATACTTGTCAAATCAATGGAAGCTTGACTGACAATGAAAGTAGAGCAATGCTGCTATAGTATTTACTGAATATGGCTAAAAGTACTGAAATTGTGTGATAATGACTGTTATGACATTATAATATTAACGGGGGGGTCGATGGGAAGGTCAAGTTAGAACCCAAAGTCAAATAGAAATACTTAACAGTATATCTGTGAATTGTAAATCATCCTCCATGTGCATAGTCTCACAGTCATAAAGAAATTATTCCCACCTTGCATTTCTCACTATGTAGCAGGCAGTCATCACTAATTTCACATGCTTCATTTAGTCAATGCCATACAGTACAATGCCAGTTATGCCCGGTCAGTGGAAACAAGCAAGTCCTTTTTTGTCTCATCTAGCTGGCACATAAGATATTGTTATTTTCTTATTAGTGTGAGAACACAAGGATATGAATTAATCATTGAATACATGACTAAAGCAATCAAGTAAACCTTTGGTTCGTGCATGGTTAATTTATTACTGTTGCAGTAAATGTCTCTTTAGACGCTGTCGTATTCGAATGTATAGCTTGGTGCAGAAAGCAGTGTAATTGGAAACAAAAGCCCAGTTTACAACGTACTGTATTACAGTGGTAAATCTTCCAGGTTTGATTGACATTAAGTAAAATCTGCACTGGTGTTTTCAGTCATTCTGTCTTTGCCACATTTTAATAACTTGAAAACAAAGTAATCACAAAACCTGGTACACATGAAAAAGATGAAATGAGATGATCCAAGTTCACATACAGTATATGACTGTGATTTCAAACCTCAAATGCCAAAAGCACAGTCTAGGCAGGTAACATGACTGATAGCCACGTCTGCACAGCGCTGGCCCGTCAAGGATAGGATCTGCCGCTTAGCGCAGTTAGGTTCTAAATTAATACAATAAAAAGGGCCAATCTCCCCCAAGGTCTGCACCAAATGGAAGAAGGTCATAACTGCAGGGTCAGTCCAACCATCAGTCTGGACAGATGCTGGGAGCCTCCCCAGACTATAAACAATACTTTCACCTAGAACACCCAGCACAAACTGGAGAAGAGCAACACAACTGAGCAGCAAAGTTGGAGAGTTAGAAGTGGGTGTGATGCTTGCAAAAGTGAAGGAGGAATTCAACTTAAGCAAACATGATTTTTTTTTTTATCACCTGTGAGAATAAATATTTGTGTAAATGGAACACTGATGTTTCTCTTCAAACTGAGCACAGGTCTGTGAAATACTTCTTTTATCCAGTATGCATGAACGCATGTGACTCTTCCTATATTTATACTTATATTTTAAAAAAAAGTTAAGACATCTGTTGTGTTAAAAATGTAAACTTTTAGCCTGTTTAGACAAATGTATGCCTCATGTGTAGCCATCAGTTGTGTGATTATTGATATTTCACTTCACTTAAAGATGAAGAACACAATAATAAATCTACAGCCATGCTAGTGGCTCTGTGAGCTTGTGCTTTGGCACAGAGCAGCTTTGGACTTAATGCTAACATCAGCATGTTAACATGCCCTCACTGACACTTCTAACATGATGATGCAAATGTATACTCAGTTTACCATCATAGTTTAGCATGTTAGCAAGTTAATGTTCATTTGTAGGCACCACACACAAACTACAGCTTGGGCTGATGGGACTTGGAACAATTTTTCATTTGGTGCCATATATCAAAATACTGAAATTCAGACATGTTGAGGGTGCCAGAGGAAAAGTCTCAGAATCGCCAAAGTTATTAGGATGATAATGAGGGATCACTATCTGCAGCAAATATCATAATCCATCCAAAACATGTCAATACATTCCACTAAAAACCATCATGGTGGTGCTTAAAAAGGGAGATCACCGAAGTCATTCAGACTGTGGGAGTCAAAAGTTTATGCCATTCTATTGAGTGTCCTATTTGTTAAGATACTTAACTAGGCTTAATTTGTCAAGCTTGTGGCAATACAGCAAAAGTCACAGGATCACCAGAGATCAGGATTCATCCTCTCAGAATCATGAATGTCAGTACCACATCTTGTTTTGAATCCACCAAGTAGTTGGGATATTTCAGTCTGGTGGACTGAGCGACCAGGGGACCAGCTGAATGACATTACATTGCCTCAAGCCATGTCACTAGCACAGTTACTAAACAAGTCACACTGCTCCTAAAAAAGAAGAGCAGTTATCACTGTCATTTAAAGACAAGCTGTTGGAACAGAAAAGGGAAATTATGAATATGAATTATCCACTCTCTCTGCTTCGCATTACTATGCATCAGATCTAACTTTGCTGTTACTTTGTGGGTGTTATGTCTTATGTGAACTGATCATATAGTAACATGTCCCTTGTTTGACACACAAAAACCACATATACATAATGCGTCATGCTGACCGTCTCTAATGCTGTATAAACTAAGCGACGCTGCCACAAGTTTCAGACTCAGACGGAGGTGAAGACAGTGCACGAGGTTAAACTGATATTATTCAGTGTTTAATGGCTGTGGATGTTTTACAGTGCTGTCTGTTACGGCCTCCTGAAGTGGGTGGTGGAAAGTAAAACAAAGCTAAGTTTTCTGCCTAGTGTGCTGTTAATGTCTGTTTTTAGAAGCCTGCTAGAAAATGCCAAGTAAAGTCATTTTACATGTTTCTATTGAATGTTGTTTATCTTCAGCTGTAGTGCTCAGCAGACAAAATCTCACAGTTTCCCTCAGAGGGAAGTGCTGATAATGTACTTAAATTAATTAAGATTCAGAATATAAACTATATCTATTATTTATGAGTTTATGAGGTTAATGATCTAATTTGAAGGAGAAAGGCTCTGTACATTTATATGATTTTAACCAGACCTCAGTGGTATAACTAGCATATTTCAGGAGAGTCGTTTATGGCTTTCCTCATATTACATTGCACTGATATTTGTATTTTGTGCACTGCTGTACTGTTTAGCTTTCACATTATGATTTTTCACTTTTACTTTCAACATATTGTCTTTTCTGTGTCCTACTTCTGTCACAGTTTCTCACATTAATTAATTGAACTTTCTATCATTCCTGTTTTTTATTTCATTTTTACAGAATATATTGCATCATTTTTTACCGTTTCTAGTGTTGCGAGGGTCTTAGAGCTTGTACGGGTGCAGAAATATATCACTTACCTACCAGGGGAGTCATGGCTGATGTAAAAACAGAGCTACTCTGAACGACAAATGTCACCCCTGCACCCACAAGCATGGCCATGTATCCTGCCAACCATCCAAATGGATATGGCAGGTCTGTTGTAAAGCAGAACAAAACAGAAATTATACAATCAACATTTAAAAAAAACTGCAGTTTTTTCTTGTACAGATAATTTGCATCCAAAACATCTTTTAAAGGTTTTCTTAGTTTGTTTGTTTACTTGAAGACTGTAATCTGCATATTGAACTCCCTCATGCTGATACAGTAAATAAAAGGCTCCAAGGCATGCCCACCTGTGTTGATAACTTTATGGATGGCCTTTGCTACTTGGCCTTTAAGAAGAGAGTTGAGCAGCTTGACCAGGAGCAGCAGACAGGTACAAAGAACAGCCATGGAGGCTGCCAGGAGAATCAGCCCAACGGTGAGGTCTGATAGCGAGGTAGAAACAAATAAATGCCTACCTGCAAAAGGACAGACCCGGAAATCATCACAATATGATCCCACAAACGTCAGGGTTCATCATTTACTGAAAAGATAATGAATAATTGAAATGAATAAGGTTCCAAACATAATTAACTCACACTTCATTAATGGCTGTGACAAGTTATTATTGGGGCTACAGCTTTCACTGCTCCTGTTGTCTGTGGACTGTAGAATGAAAGAATTGTGATGAAAATACAAATAGCAAGGCAGCTGTGGCTGGTAGGAGTGACAGGCTTTATTTGGCGCCAGTGTGTGACACAATGCGTCTACATGTGCAGGAGACAGCAGTGGAGAGGAGCCATTACCATAACGAGCTCAGTCTGGCACCATTCTTTCACCAGGCTCCTGTTCCTCATGTCTTCATTTCCCATGGCGATCCCCGTGATCACACACTTGTCTAGCTGAGCGTGAAATGAAAGATATTTTTCAGTATGCAAATTCAGCAAGCAAAAGAAGATCAAGGACTAAAAAAGGTTTCCACTTGTTCACACCTTTAATCAAATGTCCTGGGATCAACACCCTGTGTAAGGGTTTCTGTTCAAGACTAACTCTTCACTATGCCCCCACTAAGACTTTGCCAACTGTAGATAGCTATATAATTAAGCTAACATTAGCTTCATGAGCTGGTTGAAAAGACTATCTTGGTTGACATTTTAATATGTCAAGCTAACACAGAGGTTACATGTTCCAAAAAGCCAGCATCTGCAAAAGTTAATGATCCATGTAGAAAACATGGAAATTTTAAAAAACTGTATTTTTCTTGTTTTAATTTAGCCCTGTTTGGCTGCGTAAATTAGATTCTTGTCCTTCTTTTTCTTTTAACATAATATGACAAGAGGCTAAGTGATATGTTCAACAATAGCCTAAATTTTGGCATCCAGGACCAGATTCACACATAATAAAATACAGTACACATGGAATTGCTACTAGTTTTTATGTGTATTTTTGTATTATTTATTATTATTATTTTACATAACCTTTAACCCCACAAACTAACCACCTAAAAGATGTGCGCAATGGTCTGTGATGTAATGCTCAGTTAATACAGTAGGCAATAAATTTGTTAGCTTGACATGCTAACGATTGAAGTTTATCTTAAAGGAGATAGTGTTTATGTCCTAGACTTTTGTTCCTGTGTTCTTTGGTTTTGAAAAGACAAAGAGGACACCAGCCTCTACACTTTGAAAAGTGTAAGGAAGTATCACAGAACCAAGGCTTGACTCGGCCAATGTGCTAAGCTATGATTGGATAATTGCTGAAAGGGGACAAGGCCTAGCAAACAGTCAGTTACAAAAGTGGTGGCTGGCTGATAGTTTTACCTGTATGATGAGCTTGGTTACTGGCTCGGTGATGGCCTTAAGCAGCTCAGGTGCTTCCTCTCCAGGTTGGAGACTGAAGCTGGTGACTAGTAGGTGTGACAGCTGGGTCATGACGCCACTCACCACCTCGAGTGGCAACAGGACCAGGACTGAAAGCCAGTTGAAGCAGTCGTGGATAGTTGCCCCAGCGAAGGCACTGCAGTGAGTCACAATAATTTTCCCTCAATAAACCATCTGCATAATCAACTGCTCAGAGTGATTGCTTGGTAATCTGCTTTTAACAGCTCAACTTTTTTGCATGTGTGTGATGTAATGAGCACTTTAGTTTTGACTCAGAGTGTGAGTATAAAGATTAATAAATTAAATTTATTTTACCAGACACAGATTAAGTAACATGCCATCTGTTCAGTGCAATATCTTTTCAAGCCAAAGGGTTACTGGTGTGGGATCAATGTGGAGTGGTGCCATTATTGTCACTGTTGTAGAAATTACATACAAATGGAGGCTGAAGCAGAGAGGCAGCAAACAGCTGTTAATGATTTCACTTTACCCTCCTCTGCTTTCTTCCTGCACTTTTTTATACTTCAACATTTTCTTTCTTCCATCTCCCCACTCATCATCTTCACTTTTCCAAAATCAATTTTTTCTTCCCGCCCTTCTGCCTCGCTTCCACTCATCCTCTGCCCTGCCACCTTTTCACTCACCGTTGAAACTCAGTCCTCTCTGCAGCGTGCATCATGGCAACTATGGTGTTCGTTACTGAAGTCCCAATATTGGACCCCATGATGACTGGAACAGCCGACCTCACTTCTAACACTGTGAGGTGAGACACCACAGAAAGATCTTTTACTTGCAAGTTACTTTAATGAATCCTAAAACTCTATGATATACAGTAAAACAGAAAGCATTTTAAACTGTTGTGAGTATTGCATTATACAGATAATTACTCCACATGACCCTTCGCATTTCACAACGCAACATGGGTTTTAATGGAGAGGAAAGGTGAATGTAATTTGCAGGTGAGTGGATGCCGCTTAGCCTTTACCCTCAGCAACAAGGTTCATTGTTGAAGATGTCTCTTATGATGATGACCTAAAGGGTATGTGCACATATGTACACACTCATACAGGCGCATCTCCATGCCTTTGCATCACTTTCTTTAATAATCTGCATAATCTTCCTCCTAACTCTCTTACACAAAAGCCTTGAAGCAGTGCAGCAGCTCCTGCATACTAATATCATTCACCTTAACCACACAAGGAAGACAGGGGAGACCTTGCAGCCTGCACAGATAGGTTGTAACCTTACAGTGTATTGGTCTTATGAGGCATAATATAGTGTAGACTGACTGAGATGGTGGGAGATTATAGGGTGTGAAATGATTTGATTTGATTTGATTATCACTGATTGCTACTCTGCTAGAATACAAAAATTCTGTTTTTCTTTAACCACAGCACTACAATCTCAACTGGCAATTTCAGATCAGCTAGTCAGAGTGTGGTAGTAATCACACAAAAGAAGGATTCAATTATGCAAATTTGCATCATTTTAATTAAATTTGATGGATAATGTTAATGATGTTGTCCACCAACACATCAGCGAGCCCCACCTAGGTCTAGTTTATCCTGAGTCATTGCAGCGTATGCTATCCTGCTTCTGGAAATAGTCACATGAGCTCTGAAAATGTGCCAGTTGGCAGCTGAAGAAAGTCCCCCAACAAACGTATTATTATACCTCTGTGAGAAATGTTAACAATCAGAGGTCAGCTGCTTTAGGAAGTGATTTGGCCTTTTTTAAAATGAGCATATGTAGTAGCAGTGGTTAAAAATAACTAAGTACATTTACTAAGGGACTGTTCTTGATTACAATTTTTAGGTTTCTGTACTTGAGTATTTTCATTTACTTCTACTTCATACTTTGATTTCAATACCTTTTAGAGGTAAGTATTGTACTTTTTACTCCCCTACATTTATTTTATAATTTTAGTTACTGAATACTATTCAGATTAATAAAAAAATATACAGTAATCAGAAGACTTTGCTGATCTCTGGTGGAACATTCACGCTAACCAGCAGTAATTCATATTAGAAGTGTATGAGCTAATTAAAATGAACTCCCCAGCTGCAACATTAAGTGTGATGTACACAATAATGAATTAATAATTAAAATATATACATTTTTACACTGTTGTATTGCTACCTTTACTTACAGCAAGTATGAGTACTTCGTCTACCACTGTGTATTGTTGACCCATTTAGAAAAACATTCTCTCTGATAACAATTAATGGGGGTTAAAACCCCACAGGGTGGGGAAGTCGGGAGTGTTGATTGCTGCTTGTCTTTCATTTATTTTACAAGATATGAGAACACATCACTTGCCTTTTCATCCACTAGTTTACACTTGACTGAAGTACTCTAATGTATGGGTAAATAGCTAAATTTCCATCTATCTGAACAAATATTCATCTGCTTATACATGTATATATTTAATATAAGCTATAATGGCTAATTTGGTCCTTAATGCTAAGCATCAAATTAAATAGCATAATTTAGTTTTTACCCTCCGTAAGGAGCACAGCATGCGATTAAATTGGGAGCCAGAAAAGTGAGATTATAAAATAATATATTTGTTATTACCACAGATGTACCATGGGAATTTTCTGTCCTATATGTTTTTATTGCTATGTCACTGTTTTTTTTTCTGTTTGCTATATATTTGCTTTGCAAACCAATAGCTTGCACAGATGTCCAGACGTTCAGTGTGTACAGCACACACCCAGACACAGTCTTTCCATTTCAGTCTTTTTAATGAGCTCATATGCCATAATCACACATTTGCATGCACTTTAATGTGCCTACTCACATCCGGAGGCCACCAGACTGACGACGATAGAGGTGGAGGTTGATGAGCTCTGAACCAGCACAGTAACCAAGATCCCCACCACCAGCCCCGCCACAGGGTTTGACAGCACAGCATTATCCTGGAAAATGTCCCCTGCCACTTTGCCTGGTTAAACATGCCGCCCACATACAGTCCAAAGTGAGACACACATATACACACAAAAACATACTGGGCTCAGACCTGACAGCGTTTCCAAAAACAATGTTAAACAATACTCAATCTGCTTGTTTCCTCGATTCTGAAAAGGTCACCAGATGAAGCTTTGCAGTAAACTGGCTGAGTCGCCATCAACCCACTGAAGGGGCAGTGAGGGCCAGATTACTCACCCTGTGCTAAACTCACCCCCTGCTAACTGGAAGGCAGAGCTCAGCGTGTCCAAGGAGCAAACAAAGAAAAACAGGAGGACGAGGAGGAGAGGGATCTTTGATAGATTGATAAGGAGCTGCTTGATCTTGTTCGAAGTCTCTGCAGCAGTGGTTTGAAGAGAGCTGTCTATTCAAAGCAACAACAATCAGAGAGAGGATTAGCCTCAATGTGCTGTAAATCTAGAGTTTTAAAAAATGTATCACAGATAACACAAAAAAAATGGTGTGCTTCTGGCCACCACATCACCCTCTTGATTTTCATTCTTGTGACTTTTGTATTCTGAAGAAGCAATTTCACATGTAGAGAGCAAAGCCATCTGAAATAAATGTATTACAAATGCAGCCAAATACTGCTGAGTGACAGCAGGACTTCACTTTTGCTGCCCAGAGCACATGATCCCACTGGCTCTGTGGGTCTTTTGAACGTATCCCTAGCTAATGAGCATGTGGTTCGGCTTCTGCTGCTGTTATTTGCCTTTCAAAGAGATCAGAGCCACTGCAAACCCAGGAGACGAATGTGTGATTTTCCTCTTCACGCCACTCCTGTACCTTTCTCTTTGGGGAGACTGCCTGCCTCCCTGAGCGAAGGTTTGCTGGAGTGCTGATTGGTATGTTGGTTGTAGCCCTCAAAGCTGCTGCTGAGATCAAGGGTGGAGCCAATGCCCGACTCCCTGTCCTCTTCCAGCAGGAGTTTGGCCTGTGAGGGGAGCTGAGTGCCATGCATCATCAGCCCTGATAACAGAAGACAAGAGGACACACTCAGGTGGTGAAGCATTTCAGAGACGTATAAAGCACAGTAATGGGAAATGAAGCAAAAAAAGTTACCATTGTAGTCAAGCTCTGTGCTCCTTCCAGAGGACACTATCGTTATAGGTCGGGAGGACATGGTGTTTTGAATACTGTGTGGAGATAATTAAAATCACAGGATGACACCATGGTAAAGGGAGCAAATGTAAGAGTGGAAGTGTTTATCGGCCATGTGCAGCAGTAAAAAGAAACCAAAGGAGACCAGCATGTCTGTGTATGAGCCCATCTCATACCACGCTACTGACATCAACAGACAAGCAATTAGAAGAGAACAAAGGCAGCCCACATTGCTTGAAATTGGCAGCTGTCCTTGATTTGAGGTCAGACCGCTCACTTAAACCACATACACCATGAGGCATCGTCTCGCCTCTCAACAAATGAGTGCCTTGTCAGAATCAATAAGGAAACATCAGTATCCATGTAACTCATCTTGTCCTCCGTTTCCTGCAGCTGCAAGTCAGCTCTTAAAGGGGCTCTCCACCGTCTATAGAGCAGCAACTCTCCTCAAAGGTTTTCTTGGTGTAAAGAGACCGTCCCCCCCTCCACTCCCCCCTTTTCATGTCAGCCACTTTGCCATATTTTGGGGACTCCAGTGGAGGAGGGAGTGCTAATGTGTCTCTTAAAAGCAAAGAGGATGGAAGTGAGTTCAGTAATTACAGCAGCTGAAATTACAGTAATTACACTGCATTATTCTCATTGTGTATGGCATCCTTCCTGCAGGTTCTGATGCACACCAAGTTAGCATATGTATACATCCATATATATGGGAGTATGTGAGCCAAGCGCCATAGATTGCAGCTGAATAAACTCTGAATGCTGCTGCCTATTTTTTCATTTGTTTACCAGTCTGTCTGTGTTTAAGCCTGTCACTGTGACTTACATATATATAGTTGCTGCTGTTTATGCTTCACCTGAATGTTATTGACTTTTAACTGAAGTACAAAAATAAAAGGATTAATGAAACATTTATTATCTGCTGTCAGTGATTGACTGTTGACTTGCCAACGTTTTCTATAAAATATATTGGCTGTGAGTCTCACTGCTCTAGATAAAAAGACAAATAAATTATTCAGTTTTTATTTTTAATAACAGAAAGCTTCAGTGTTACTTACCTTGTCTTGTCTGAGGTGTTGTGAACGACCACCCGGGAAGAAAAATATCAAGCTGAGGTGTGAATCATCTTTAAATAAGCTACCAGGTCTGAGGTTTTCTCCCCTTAACCCTTGTTGATTAACTTGTTCCATCATCAGAGACCTCATTGTTAATCAGTAACACAAAGCCTTAACTTAATGATCCATAAGCTGGGAAAACATGTGTATAAGGTGATTCATGATATTAGCTCAGCCAGCTATTTTTCACCTGATCTGGGGCAAGATAAAGATTCCCAGATGAAGAGGATTTGATGTGATTAATGATTGTTGTTGTTTGGGGGGGTTCTCTTAGTTCCACGTGAAAGAGCAGGAAAAATCTGACACCTAGTGGTAAATGTTGGATCAATTTAGAATTCCTGCACTCTCTTCTGAAGTCTGTACATATTCTCACACAGCACATACTGTAGCCTGGCAAAGATTAAAGTCAGGGTATTAGATGATCCTTTCTTCCATGAAATGAATCAGTGGAAGCATTTCAAGCAGGTACTTTGTAAGTTGCTTGACTAGGATGTTCAGGTACATAGGTCCTTTGCCAGAACTCAAGAAAAAGTGTGATGTGACTGGAAACTAACTATCAGCTATATTTTCTAAGAGCCCCTTAACACACAGGTACACATATTTACTTAGATGCCCCACTACCCACAGGCAATGTCCTCACCATGGGAGAACATTGTGATGACCTGATTAACAGGGTACTTGTTAATAATTAGACCAGGTG